TTCTTGTGCTTCTGTGGCCCACATACAGAGACTGCCACAGGGAGAAGGCTGAATGCATGAGGGAAAACTTACGGGCTGTTGCTGGTCTAGGCATGATGTTATCAGTACCATTATCTTTATTAATACCTGTTATAAAGTAGTTATCACCTACTTTATAATACTTACAAATACTTAAAAAGGCAAGGGAATATTTGCCTTGTTCCAGGCACTGAACTGTATTTAAACCTTATAATTTATAAATAGTTATACTTTCATGTCATCATATTAAGTATCATGTAATAGTTTCCACCCCATTTTATAGGAAAGAACCCTAAGACTCAAGCATTTTGTATGATTTGCCCAAGCTGATGCACCTGATAAAAATCAAAAGCAGCACTGAGAATTATTCATGTGATCCCAATGTCCATCCTCTTTTCATTTTGCTGTTCTGGACTCCTGTTATTGTTGTGAAGCATCTTTAACCGCTGAAAGATAGGAGAGGTCTTGGCCTTCATGGTTAAATCTCACCAATGCACCATAACTAGGGTTGTATCAGGGCAAAGTAGTTGAAAGTCAAAACTAAAGAATTTGATGATGTACATATTTTTAGAGACTGTTATAAATGTGAATTAGAACTCACATGAATACTGTCTGAGTAAGTCCTTAAGGGGCTCTCAGTGATGTAAATTATAATAATGGCACATCTCACTTATATTGACAATTTTAATTATGAAATGAATGTATGGAAATCAGTATTTTTAAAAATGTTGGTTAAAGTAATATTTTAAACTCTAATTTTCCCCACCATTAATTTAGAAAAGGGCTTTTAATTTTGCTATTAGACAAAGGTGACAAATAAGTTTTTTGTCAAAGTGATACATCATTCCTCTATCTGAATCTACTCCACTAATAATTTTACCTTATGTTAAAATTATGACCTAAAGACAGAAGCAACTAGAACATAGTTTATTGTGTGAGACTGGCATGAACAGGAAGAGGAGAGATACAGAGTCAGGTTAGTGACAGAGAGCTCCTCTACCATCTCTTAGTGAATGACAGTGGCTTGCTTGGACTTTCAATCTGCCCACAGGCTGTGAGAGCTGAGACTGGACCTTCAACTTCCCATTCAAGACACAATTCTGATCCTGCATGTTTAACACCCTAACTTCCTAATTAAGTTGAATTTTTAAAAACTATTATAGTGAAATTTTCGAGTACCATTAAAAAAGATTTCATTCATTTGCCAAGATCTTGAGTAGTTTCTGCAAGATACAAGGCAATTAAGTCTGGGTCCAGGAAAAAGCATCAAAACATGTTATTTACTGCAAGAAAAGAATACTACATGGTAAATGGAGCTCATCTCAAGTGGAACCTCTTGACTCACAATGGCAGAGGCTAAAAAGAGTGATAACAGCACCTACAGGGTCAAATATCCATCCTAAGTATTGCAGGGCACCGGATTCTGCATCCACACAGAAGGATGTTGCCCTGTGTGGTGGCTATAGGGGCGCGCCGCTGTCGGGGAGCGCCGCAGAGAACGCAGCGGTCCCTGAAACCTGCGGGAAACCAGATGGGGCCAGCTGAGGTGGGAGCGGGGCTCTGAAACCCAGAGCCCGTCCTGGGGATGTCATGGAGGAGGGGGAATAAACACAAAACATCACAAACACTTCTCTGTTTGCCGGGAGAGCAGACAGGGCACTTCCCTCTCACCGGAGAAGGCCGTGGCACATCCCCCTAGCGAGGAAGGCCCCGGCGCCCTTTGTTCCAAGGCTTTTATTGAAAAACTTACCAGTGGGCTAGGTAACAGGAATGCATACGTATACTTGTTACATTAGCATGTTAAGTTTCACAGAGAATAGATACTTTTGAGAACACAAGTGACAGGAATTCACTGATTTACATGGGTCTGAGGGGAGACTGGTCTAAACAAAAGAGAAAGAAGATAAGGGCAAGCACCTTAATGATAAAGGGCAAAGGGTGTAAATAATGTGAAAGACCTTCGCAGCATGAGCTGGCCAGAAATATGAGGGAGGAACAGAGCACACTAAAGAATTTACTTTTACGCCTGCTTACCCCGGGACCCACAAGATCTGATTTAGGGCTATTTTTCCTGCACTGTTTCAAGGCTTAGCAAGGCGGGGGGGGGGGGGGTAGGGGGGGAAGGGGATCTCTTAGCAAGAGATAAGGAGACTGCTTCTCAACTGCAATGAAGACTCCGGCCATGTCCAAGCCAAGCCGAGAGATGTGGAAGCCTTTTTGCCCCTTCTCCCTGTCCGCCAATTTCTTGTCTGCTGCTTTTATCTGCCCGGGCCTGTCTTAGGTTGCCCCTCCTCCGAGGTGTCTTACCCGTCATTGGCAAGGACATCCCAAGGCAAAGCAGAGCCCCTACTCAGGGGAACAGGTCAAATCGCCTCAGGAGCCTGTTTCTCCAAGGCCTCCTGATTATTTCTAGCCTTGGGGCCCTCCAGCCTGTTGGCAGGGTGACAGCTCCTGAAACCAGGCCAGTCATTTCCCAACAGAAGGAGACCTCCCTCCACCAAAAAGGACTCATGGCTTGTCCTTGTCACATTTCATCTCTGTCACTTACCAGCTGTGTGAATCTGAGCAAATTCCTTCACCCCTCTGTGCTTCAAGGTTGACCTTATCAAATAGGTCTTATATTAAAGTATAACACTATATTTTAAGAGTCCTAAGAATTCATTTCAAGTGCAGTTTATGTATATTGCTCCCAACAACCTAATGAGGCGTTGTCAATGCCTCCAGCCAAAGGCCACCAGGGGCATGCGTGTGGATGGACTAGTTGATATTCATTGCAGTGAAGGAGAAAACTTTGGAGAATTGTGAGGCATCTTAGTAAGAAGGTATTGGAACCAAAGAAGCAAAATCAGTAGATGTTTATTAAAGAGAATTTTTGCAAGGAATTAGTTTATGCAATTGTTGGGGGCTAGGCAAGCCCAAGATCCATACTGTCGGGGCAGGGGAGGGGGCGGCGGCAGGCAGGCTGGAACTCAGCACGGACTGAAGCTGCAGCCCAAAGTGGAATCTATTCCCTCGGGGAAGACTCAGCGCAGATGCAATTTTAACTAGTTGGAGCTGGCTCACTCTAATGATCCAGGATAACAACCTCTATTACTTAAAGTTAACAGAATATGAACTTTAATCATATCTACAAAATATTAATGTTTGATTGAATAACTGGGGACTATAACCTACCTGACACATAAAAATGATCATTAAACTCAGAAGGTTTGAGCTTGTGTGAGGTGATCTTGAGAAGGATTTAAGAAACAGACACTTTGTTCTTAATTGGATTCTGTTAGGAAATGGGTGATGGGCTGGGGTAGGGTAGTTCATAATTGAGTATCTTAATGAATTTTACCTGGAAGGAAGGAACACCATTCTAGAGCTAATGCTTTAATTGATCAAAAAGCAGCAGCAGCCACCCCCAGCCAGGTGCCTCAGTTGGTTAGAGCATTGTCCTCATACACAATGTTGCAGGTTCGATCCCTGGATAGAACACATACAAGAGGTAACCAATGAATGTATATATAAGTGGAACAACAAATATCTCTCTTTCTCTCAAATCAATAAAAAAAAACAAGTTTAAAGAAAAGCAGTGATCATTCCTGTCATCGGGGGAGAGGTGTGCTTGGTCATTTCTGTGGTTCAGAAATGCTCACATTTTGTTCGTGTTCAGACTTAGTTACTGAGTAACTGTATCTTCTATGTTAACCCATCATAGGCACAGAGTGACTGGCCAATACTGACAGTCTATTACATTGTTTATGTTCAAGAAAATACCAAAACCTAGCTGTGAGTACCAGGCCAGCTCCTGGTAACACCAGGCCTGGTTAATAGCACCAGGAAGCTCCCAAACACAGGGCTTTCCTATTTCCCCTTCCTTAGAGTCGCTGTCACCATGAGGTAAGACAGAATGTTGAGAAACTGAGGGCCATGTGACAGGGACAGGGAGGCTGATTCTAAATGGAACCCCATTACCTTGTGGCTGCCATACACACAGAAAATCAAATCTTCTAAACCAAAATAAGTGTCCCTCCTGTGGCTTTAGCTCATTCCATAGTCCCTCACAAATATATGGAAATTCCTCAAGGCAAGATAAAGAATATAAAAAGATCCAGCAAGTTAAGGGAAAGAAATCAATTTTCTAAGTCACAGCAATTCCCCTCATTCTACCCTCAAAATTTTACATGACATTCTTAAAAAGAAAACTAATAATAACAATTTTTTTAAAAAGCCAGGAGAGCTTTCTTTTCTATAGTCAATGTCCCCAAATTTCCTTTACATGTACATGGGCAGCACGAAAACACAGAGTATGAAGAGTACTCGAGGCAGGAAAAATTCACACGCAAGGTCATACAGTTACTGTAGGCAGCACTCCACTGTAACTCCTCTTATTGCTCCAGGTGCAAATATTGGAGCTTCTGAGCACATGAAAAAGAATAATAACTTACTCAACAGGATTCATATAAATAGAAAAGGCAAAAGTATTCCTTGGCAACCACAAGCAGTGATTCCCTTGGTGAGTGGGTCAGCTCAAAATTTAGAGTCCATATGCATTATGGATACAAAAAGAAAGACAGTTAAGCCACACATGGAGACCAGGGAATGGGGAGTGGGCTGGGCTGTCAGGGAGGGGAATCAACTCAGGGGCTAATTCTTGGAGGTTGTAACCCAGAAAACCCCAAAAGACATCATATTAGTAGTGACCACATCTATCCATGCGGCTGCTCAGAAATCCCCACCCCTGTCGCCACCAGCAGACATACACACATGAGGGAAGACTTTGATTTAATAGCCTCTCTTCTTTCACAGAAGATCCCTCAAGTCCACCCTGTGTGGAGGCTACGTCAGAACCAGGGGATTTCCCAATCCCTGCCAGGCCTCTGTGTACAAACTTTTCAACTGGCAACTGAGGTGTCATTATAGGAGATTTTTCTGATTGGCCAGAACCTGACTTACAGGGTTTGGTTTGGGTGTTTTTAGATTTCTTTCTCAGCTTGGTCCTCACCCTTGCTCTGCAACTCAGAACGGCAACTGCTGAGACCACCTCGAGAAGACGATGATCCTCAACAGAGCTCTGATTTGGGGGACCCTTGCCCTGACCACCATGATGAGTCCCTGTGGAGGAGAAGACATTGTGGGTGAGTGCACCGCTAAGCCCTGTGGGGACGAGACTTGGGAAACAGAGTTGGAGGGTAAAAGAGGTAGCTACATAGAAACAAGTAGATAATCCTCAAAGGCATTCTTAATATTAAGCAGATCCAAAAATTATGGTCCTTCCTTGTTTTTAAAACCAGAGCCCCAGCCTACTCTCTTTGCCACGTGTGTGGTGCACACTTCACCAAGGACATTACTGCGCATCTGATGTCGGACCCGTGAAGGTGGCCTGCAGGGCCCTGTGGCACTCGTGCATGATTGCCTCAGAGATGAGGGGCGTTTGCAGGAGTGAATATTTTCTTACTAGAAGTTCATGTACTATTGCTCCCAAATTTTTCTGAACAACTTCTGGAGCTTTTTATGCATTTCTCTTGTAGATTATCTTAGGGCAAAGAGTTGTGTGAATTATGTATACTATGCAGCTGTAAAGAAGGGTTCTCTGCCTTGTCTCAGATTTACATACATTTCCAAGCTAAGAACTGGCACAGGTGGGGACTGGTCTTCAGTTAATCTCAGTTACTTCTTATGTGTCACCTCACAAATATCAAGTAAAATAGGTATGTAGATGTACTTCCTAAGTAATGAAGACCTATAATGTCAATGATATTACTATTTTTACATTATTCTTATTTTAGATTAGCTTTATAATTTTTCATTAATAACATAGAAAATGTCTTTATCTTAAAATGGAGAACTTTATGATGAAAACTTGGTAAATTAAATTATATTAGTCTCAAATTGTCAGCCCAAGTGGCCTGTTCTTCATCCCATCTAAGGAAGTTCTGTAGGAGGAAGAACGGGCAAGCATAGAGTAATTATTTGGTCCCCTGGGTCCCTCGACCTTGACTGTGTACCTCTTCCCACCTTCTCTCCTACATTCCCTTAACCTCCTTTCTTTCAAGGACCCATCTCTGGCTCTTTCCCCTGTTGTTTCATTGGCATGGAGAGAGGGTTTGTAAAAACCAAAGTAGCAAAGACATTGTTCAAAGGGGAAGTGAAATAGAGGTTACTCTAATCTTCAATGACTTTGTTAACTGTGGCTGCTCCCATTCCTTCTTTGGCAGTGGAAGTGTAACCTGATTCTCCAGAGCACATCCAAATTTCCTGTTCACCGCGACACCAGGGTGCCCTGATCAGGCTTGACTCACCTGTGAACACAGAGGGCACCAAGCCAATGGCCTGAGATGCGTGTAGGAAATGAAAATACTTTAATTTCTTTTAAAATTAGAAAAAAGTGAACTTTTAGGATAGAAGAAACTATCTTTTTTATGTCATTTTTTAATTTATTTTTTAACTTATAAATCATGTTTATTCTATTACAGTTGTCTCAATTTGTACCCCTTTACCACCCTCGACCCATCCCACCCCCAGCCCCCGCTCCCACAGTCAATTCCCACTCTGTTGTCCGTGTCCATGGGTTATTCGTACATGTTCTTTGTCTAGTCCCTTCCCTTTCTTTCCACCATTGAGAAGAAACTATCTTAATTTAGCCTGGACTATATTTGTCTTTATACCAATATGGTCATAAAATATGACTTTTTAATACTGTTATAAGGGAATAAAAAAGGTGCCACTTAAGCAACAGTGCTTAGGACTCACACACAATGCAGCCCTGGTCACCGCTGAGTCTAATTTTCATAGGATTCTGCTGCCTTTGTGTCTGTCCGTCTTCCCCCAAATCTCTGTGATCCTCAAGAATAGCAACTGACATTTAATACACAGTTTGAGCACACAGCAAGCGAAGTGCTGGAGATTCGAAGATGAAAGACACGCTGTCTGCCCCCTGGAGGGCGCTCAGGTTAGCGATGGAGACATATGGTTCAGGAACACAGGACAGTGGAGCCAGGAGGCTGAAACTGTGAAACTGTTGGTTCCAGCTGGCCCAGCAGTGTAAGGTGCTCCGGCCACAGCTGGCCGTCAGGATAAATCCTAGGGGAAAAGAATAACCTCACCATTTATGTTTGAAAAAGGAGTCAGACATTCATTACAAGGATAAAGAGGTTTTGTTGGGGGACCTTTTAAGTGACCAACCAACGGGGTCATGCTGAGTGGGGATGAGGAACAGATAAACTTATAAAGAAGGACATTTGGATGGAGGAGTTGGAGATCATAATGTGGTCAAAGATATGTTTGATGACAACTTAGCTAAAAAGTTCGTCACTAAGCAGAAACTTCAAAAGTGAACTGGATGTGTCCAGGAAATCCTAAAAGATAATTTCAGGGAGAAAAACAGACCTTTGTGAAGACCCAGGAACCTGAAAGGATCATGTCGCTTGGTTTGACTGGCAGATGAGGTGTCTGTGGAGGACTCAGCACAGCACACCGTACTGGCTCCCTGACTCCCCTGACGCTCCCCCCATTCAAGAAGTTCCCTGATGGCAGAGACAGTGTGTGATCCATGTTTTACTCCCTGCTCCTCGCAGTGTCTGAAACCTTGCCGGCACTCAGTAAATAAGGAAGCGTGGGAAGAGGAAATGGTAACAGGCTCAGATGTGTCTAGACAAATTGTTCAGTCAGGCTCATCTGGACAGTCAGCCGGTGCTGCCTGCCCACCTGCTTTCTATCCTCAGAGAAGTGCAGGGCCAGGAGCTACCCTGAGTCCTCAGCAAATGTAAGTGTGGAGGCAGAGAAAGGAGAGGTTTAATAATGTCCTTCAAGAGAAAAGGGAGTGGGAAATAACAGAAATCCAAACTCTAATAAAATTTTCATGTTTATTTCAGAGGAAATCAGGTGCTCTCTTCTAAAAATTACTACTGTTACAAAAACAGAGAACTTAGAAGCATTGTTTATATTTTATATATTTTGTAACATTGTCACTGTCCTTATCCTACTCTTTCTTATACCCTAAAATAGTAAAAGAAAGTCTTTTAAAATAGTAAGATCTTGTGTGCTTTCTCTTGGTTTTAAAAAAAAAAGATTAAGAAGGAACATTTGTATAGAAGGATTCCGTTCTGAGCCAGCCCTGAGGGGAGAGGAACCATAATGAATGTGCTATTAACTGAGGAAGAAATTAAGTGAGAGAAAAACTTATAAACAGACAGACATAAACTTGATCTCTGGGAAGGAAAGCTAATGCCACAAACATTCATTCATTCCTCGTTTTATCCCATTACAGTATTTATCATAAGCCCACGATGTGCCCCGCACTGAGCGAGGCTGGCAGGGAACAGCAGCAAGCCAGCCTGTGAGACTCTGTTCCTGCAGAACCCACACTAGAATGGAAAGGCAGGCTGGATTCTAATGGGACAACCAAGGGGAGGAAGGAGGCCCTGGGAATTGTCTACAAACTGTGCCAAAGGTGGAGGCCACAATGTTTCAAAGTCAGTTTCTTCTGTCACTGTTTAATGAGATACTTTTCTCTCCCTCTTTTCCATATCCCTGCTCCCCACCCCCACCTCATCAGCTGACCACGTTGCTGCCTATGGCACAAGCGTCTACCAGTCCTACGGGCCCTCGGGCCAGTACACTTTTGAATTTGATGGAGACGAGGAGTTCTACGTGGACCTGCAGAAGAAGGAGACTGTCTGGCGGCTGCCTGAGTTTAGCCAGTTTGGAGGTTTTGACCCACAGGGTGGACTGAGAGAAGTGGCTACGGCAAAACACAACTTGGACGTCTTGATTAAACGCTCCAACTCTACCGCTGCTGTCAATGGTGTGTGTCCACCAGTCTGGCTCTTTACTGAATCTACCCCTTCATGCCAGGCCTCACTCCCTCCTTGCCTCAGATCGATACCCTTCACTACTCTATAAAATTCTCTCCTTTCCAAGGAGTCTCCAGATCTTCTCATGGTAATTGCTGAACCCTCATCTTCTCCCTTCTTACAAATCACATATTTCCATGTAGTACAAAGATTCTTGCTCCCATATTGCAATCCTTGAATCCTTCAAGAAGAGGTCCCATAGACCACCTGCCTTAGCAAGGAGGCCCTCAGAGAGAAGGGCATGGGGATGGAGCGCAGGCACTGTATGGAAGCTCACAAGCAGGATGGAAATGTTGGTGGGTGGGTTGCTCCAGGACACAGTGGGAACCTCAGGACAGAGCTATTTTCCGTTCTAATTCTAGTGCTTTTTCCTCATCGTAGAGGTTCCTGAGGTGACTGTGTTTCCCAAGTCTCCCGTGGAGCTGGGTCAGCCCAACACCCTCATCTGTGCTGTGGACAACATCTTCCCTCCTGTGGTCAACATCACATGGCTAAGCAATGGGCACTCAGTCACAAAGGGTGTTTCTGAAACCAGCTTCCTGTCCAAGGATGATCATTCCTTCCTCAAGATCAGCTACCTCACCTTCCTCCCTTCTGCTGACGACTTTTATGACTGCAAGGTGGAGCACTGGGGCCTGGACGAGCCACTTCTGAAACACTGGGGTGTGTATGGCTTCCATGAGTTTTGGTGTCTCCTTTTCTCTGTCAGGTTAGAACATCCTGCCTTTTAGCTCCTAAATTCATTTCCTAGAGCTTGTTTTCTACACTTCAAAGATTTCTAATAATAGACTTTATTATTCTCTCTAAACATGGTACCAAGTCTCCATAGAGCCAACGCCACCCCTCCCACCCCATCTTACACACACACATGTGAATCAACCTTCTATATTCTGACCTCCACAACTTCACTTTTACAGAGCCTGAGATTCCAACTCCTATGTCAGAGCTGACAGAGACTGTGGTCTGCGCCCTGGGGCTGGCCGTGGGCCTCGTGGGCATCGTGGTGGGCACCGTCTTCATTGTCCAGGGCCTGCGCCCAGGTGGTGCCTCCAGACACCAAGGGCCCTTGTGAGTCACACTCCAGAGGGAAGGTAAGGACTCAGATTTGTTAGAGGTGGGACCTGGAGACACAGTGCAGGAGGCATGAAAGAGAGAAGAGGCTGTGGACACAGCTGTGGTTGAAAAGTTGTGGAATTATAAAACAGCACAAAGATGTCACAGGATCCCCTATGACCTCTGGATCTCATGTCTGCCCTATTATTGCAGGTGCATTGACAGTCTTTGAGGACAGAAGAGTGGACGTGCTAGATGGCCGAGCACTATTCTCTGACCAAGTTCATCATATCCCATCTCTCCTTCAATGCACTTCCTCTTATCTCTTCTCTGGGACTTCAGGCGCTATTCTCTCAGAGCTCACAAACTCCTGGAATTCTCCCCCTCACCTTCTGATATCTTTTCCTTTTCTCAGTCATTAACCTACTAAGGGGATCCCTGGGATATTCCATCCATCCACCTAATTCTTCGTGACCCTATCTCCATGGGAGCGATAAACCCCCTCTAAGAGGTCTTTTGTTGAATTTTTCCCTTTCATCACAGGGCCAACTAGGACCATGGCTAAAAATGGCAAACCCTTATGCTTCAGGCCCCTTTGATTTTATTTTCCAGGTCATATTTCATGCTCAGTAATACAGGAGCAACAAAATATAGGCTGACAATATTTTGATATCTTAGATGAGGTTAATATTTCTCTCTCACCCTGGCTGGTGCGGCTCAGTGGGTGGAGTGCCAGCCTCTGAACCCAAGGGTCCCTGGTCCCATCCTGGTTGGGGCATGTGCCTGAGCTGTGGGCCAGCTCCCCCAGCTGGAGGCGTGTGAGAAGAAATCGATCGATGTTTCTCTCATACATCCATGTTTCTTTCCCTCTCTTTCTCCTTCCCTTACCCCTCTCTAAAAAAATAAATAAACAAAATATTTTTTAAAACAGATTCCTCTCTTCATTTGGTTTCCACCCTTGGCCACTGCCACTCGTCCCCCAGTTCAGGCATCAATAAAGATACCATATGCCTTCTGCCATTGGTGTGTATTTGTTACAGCAGAAATAAAAAAAACAAGAAGGAAGTCCATACTCACTATAACATAGCTTTTAAAAGTGATGACAAAGAAATAAGTTAAGGGAAAAGAAATTTGAATTTCAAAAGTACCAAAAGTCAAACTTTTGGTACCAAAAGGTCAAAACATTTTTCCCAAAACTTTAACTATGTAAAAAGTTAATGATGTTACTAGAAGCTTTTCTCTCTTCTCTTTACCCTTGAGGAGATAGGAATTCTCTAGGCAGGAGAATAAATGGAAGTTAATAAGGAAAGCATTCGAATAAGACACTAACGTGTGTATCTGAGAAAGACCAAATACTTGGTCCTTACTTAAGGTTGGTAGCAAGTGGAAAGGGATGGAAGTAAAAACCATAGACATATTTTGGGTCCTTAGAATGTATCTATGTAGTTTGCCTCACCTTGTAGATGAAGTCCTGCTATATAACCACGTAAATTTTCTTGTGCCACCCTGGTCTGTCAGGGACAGGAGAGGGCTTGTGGCTGCAGGGTGTGTCCAGGCAGACAAGCCAAGGCCAGGCCCACTGAATCCCTGGGCGCCCGGGGAGCGGCAGACCAGCCCCATGTGCCCAGCACCCTGGCCCTCTCCACTCGTGGCTACGGACACCATGAGTCTGCGAGAGAGGAAGCACGGTGCGCGAGGTGGGGGGAACAACATGGTTGAGATAATGTAGCAGGAGCTATGGGTGCAGGATCTTCTTCCAGGTTCAGTCTCCCAGTGGAGACCCTGGCAGTGGAAGTGGAGGAACAAGAGGGGATTCTCTGGCTCCCCGAATGTGTCCAAGGCCTTATTCTTGAGAGTGTACGTGACCTGACTCGAAGCCATTTTGCCTTTTGAAGTCATTTTCAGCTTGTTGCCTCAGTCTTTCCACTCTGTAACCTCTGAGTACAGGCATTACATCCAGTGTGACATTATGAACGAGCTACAAAATGTAGGAGGCTGTCCCTGTTCATGTCATCTGCCTCGGTGAGTTTAAAATGTAACGGGGAAAAAAGACAAATACTAACGTAATAAATGATATCGCATAGCTCTGTACAAAGAAACCTAATTACAAACCTCAGGACTCGGTACCTTATAGCTGGTCCTCTAAACTCTGTAACCCTAGGTTAAATGTCTAGTATTCCGAGCCATATTTTTCTCACTCACAATGTAGGACTGGTGATACTTACTTTGCAGAGGTATTGACAGAATTTGAAGAATCTTGATATACAGGCAGTGCCTTACAGATCACATGCAAATACATAAGAAAACATTGCATGTGCTCACCTGGGCAGCACACATGCGCAGATGGGAATGACACCAAGAAGGCTGGCATGGCCCCTGCACAGGGGTGACTTGCAAATTCAAGAATGTTCCGTATTTTTTATAAATGTCTAACCACCATGCTGTACACCAGAAACTGATAGGAAATAATATTGAATGTCAACTGTAATTAAGAAATAAAATGTTTTTAAAAGTACACATTGCTAGTTACATGTACCATTAATTTCTCAGAAACAATGTATTATATGAAAAGCACTTTTGTATTTTGAGCCTTTTAATAATTTAGGAGATTCAAATATGGAGCTATGGATGAATTTCTTTTCATACATTTTTTAAAATTTATAGTTGTTCAGTTACAGTTGTCTGGCATTTTTCCCCGTTGCTCACCCCTACCCCACCCCTTCTTTTTTCATACATAAGTTGGAGGAAATTTTCCTCTCTAGAATGAGAGAGACTAAGATTGAGTTAGGCTGAGACAATAGATAGGCTGTAGCAGCCAGTGACATAATACTGGGGAAGAGATTGCTAAGAGAACTCCTAGAGCAAAAAGCTGTAATTGTAACTGTACGTTTTTACTCTTGGATAAAAGTTGTGCCCCTTCTTTATGGCCCATAAACTTTTAGTGAAGGAATGTTATAGGCAACAGATGTTTATGTATATCTCCTTTCAGGGGGAGGTGGGAAAGATTCAAGGAGAAAAACCTACCTGAGATAGAAGAAAGTAATTTAAAATGCAGGCTAGGAATTAGTATTGCATGCAGGGTATTCGAATCAGAGACGATCATGATAAGGTTAGTAACAGAGCACAGAAGATTTTTAGGGCAGTAAAACAACTCTATATGATACTATAATGGTAAACACATGTCATTTTACATTTGCCCAGACCTATCTAGTGTGCAACACCAAGAGTGAATTCTAATGTAAACCACCAACTCTGAGTAATAATGACATATCAATGTGAGTTCATCAATTGTAACAAATGTACCACTCTGGTAGGAAATGCTAATAATGGAGGAGGCTGTGGATGAAAGGGCAGGGTGTATACAGGAAATCTTTGCATCTTCCGCTCAATTCTCCTGTGAACCTAAAGCTACTCTAAACTAAAGCGCATTTAAAAAAACAAAACAAAAGATCAGCAATTACAAACCCAAATGTATAAAATAAAAATATTAGTAAGGAAAAATATGTAGGTGTCTTGAAAATGCACAAGTATGCTGAGAAGAGTTTGAAATTTTAATAATTTATGAGGTAAGAACTTGGCATTTGGGAGTTTGTGTGTGTGTGTATTACCACAACATAAGTATTATACTGAAAACCATTATGGCCAGTGTCCCAGAAACATACAAATGCTGCTATGCTCAGACTCCTTCCCCATGAAGTAGCGAGAAAGGCAAACATATTTGTAGTAGCATTTTATTAAAGGAACTAAAATTTTCATATCATATAATTTTAAAATAGGAAAATTAACTCTAAAAAAATAAGCAATTCTGTCTTTTTATCAGCTAGAAATGAAAAGTAAGATCATCATAACATTACTATTAACAAAGTAGGAAATCAGGCTTCAGGATTGAGAATTATGTGATGCTTTTTTTTTTTCAAGAGGATATTAAAATGTTTATTGATTACACATGATAATGGATGATACACAAACTTCATTCCTACCTATAATTTTATCTGGTACCATAATTCAATTTAGATATATCGCATAGGATGTGCCAACAACCATTAACAATCAAATAAATTCCATGACTCTGCTTGGGTAATCCTTTCAATGGTGAACTCCAGGTCACAACATAGTAACTTATCAATTCAACAACACCAAGGTTTCTGAAGACAATGGCTTGTATGCCCAAGCAGGTTGAAAATAAATTTCAAATGGAATCTGGCATCACCCTGAAGGAATTCTAACTTCACACTGTTGGGGTAATTTACCAAGATTGCTTCAGAGTAGACTAACTTTACACAGCACATTTAAAAAAAGAGACACATTTATTCAGCGTCATGATCAGACTATTACATTTAGCAATCAACAGCATGGGTGCAAAAAAAAAAAAAAAGAATAAAGAAAAACTACATTAAAAACCCTTTGTTGGAATGCTTTACACTTTCCACAGAACAGAAACTAAAATAACCTGTTATACAATTAGTCACAAATACAGTCTTCGAGTTTTTTGCCCATTCACACGAATATTATCTAAAACATGTCTTCTTTGTAGGAGCTAGGCCCTGCCACCACTGTGCTTGGCTGAGTTCACAAATCTGTTGTAACCTGTAGCTTCCCTGTCACTTCTCTGGCTCTCCTCTCCTGCTAAGCTTTGTTTCCTGGCAGCAGTTAAAACCTTCTGCCACTGCCATAGCTACTGCTGCTGCTGGAACCGCCATAGCCACCTTGATTTCATGTTTTGGCAAAGTATGGGCCTCCACCACCATAGGGGCCAGAGCTTCTGCCTCCAAAGTTTCCTCCTTTCATGGGTCCAAAATTTGAAGATTGATTGTTATAATTGCCAAAATCATTGTAGCTTCCACCACCTCCAAAACTGCTTCCATCGTTACCAAATCCATTTGAGCCGTCCCCACTGCCACCATATCCACCACCACCACGGCTGCCACCAAAGCCACCTCGACCACTGAAGTTTCCTACACGACCAAAGTTATCATTCCCACCAAAACCACCTCCACGACCACCTCCAAAGTTTCCAGAACCGCTTGGACCTCTGTGGCTGGATGAAGCACTAGCCATCTCTTGCTTAGATAGGGTTTTCCTTACTTCACAGTTGTGGCCATTCACAGTGTGGTATTTCTGAATGACAATCTTGTCTACAGAACCATGGTCATCAAAGGTTACAAAAGCTAAGCCTCTCTTTTTGCCACTGCCTCAATCAGTCATGATTTCAATCACTTCAATTTTCCCATACTGTTTAAACTAATCTCTTAGGTGATGTTCTTCAGTGTCTTCTTTAATTCCACCAACAAAAATCTTTTTAACAGTTAAGCGCGCACCCGGTCTTTGAGAATCTTCTCTTGACACAGCCCTCTTAGGTCCACAACTCTTCCATCCACCCTGTGTGGCCATGCATTCATGGCTGCATCCACCTCCTCTGCAGTGGCATATGTGACAAATCCAAAACCTCTGGAGCTCTTGGTGTTTGGATCTCTCATCACCACACAGTCTGTGAGCATCCCCCATTGCTCAGAATGGCTCCTCAGGCTCTCATCTGTTGTTTCAAAGCTCAAACCTCCGATAAAGAGCTTCCGTAGCTGTTCCGGCTCTTTGGGGGACTCTGACTTAGACATGACGACCGCAGGAGAGGAGATTTCACCGATGCTTACTCAGAGGCGTCCACCGGCAGAAAGCGAGAATTATGTGATTCTTGGTAATTGAGTTATTTGAATTATTTCAGATTGTGCACATAAAGTATGGCTTTATTAATATTTACTCTCATACCATTTAAAAGTCATGTAATTTAAAAATTACATAAAATATATCAGGTTTGTACTTACCACATGCAAACCAGGGATTTTTGAAGGATTAAATTTGTTCTTACACAAAGTGGGGAAGGATTGAGGGAGGGAGAGAGGGGAGGGGGCAGGGGAAAGGGGTGTGCGGAAGGCAGAGACAAATGTATTTGAAAAAAATAAAAATAAATTTAAAAAAATATGTTCTTACAGATCAAGCACTTCACACACAGCAGATAAAAGGGGTTAATAATTGGTGTTAGTGTTATTTTCTCAGAAAATAACAGGGCATAAATCTTGTACTAAATGACATCACAGGGGTACAACAAACAAAATCCAAATAGGGGGAGTTTTACTAGGCAAACAATTGTTTCTTCAGCAAACAGCTTGCAAGGAAAAATAGGTAATAGAGAAACCATGTATTTGAAAACTGAAGAAACATATCAACCTAATGCTAGACTTTGTTTAGACTCATACTCAAACAAAACAACTGTTAAACAAATTTTCTTGAGACACAAAAATTGAACACTTAACTGTGTTAAGGTATTATTTATGTAATATCAGGTGTGCTAATGACATTGTTATGTTTCTAAAAAGTCATTAAATTGTAGATTTTCATAATAATAGATTTATGGGAAAAATGGTACGATGTCTGAGATTATCATCAAAATAATCCAGTGATCATGGGAGATTAATTAGTGGGTATACAAATATGCCCATAAATTCATCGTTATTAAAACTTGACTGTTGATACATGGCACTATTCTCTCTACTATTTTATATAGTTGAATTTTTCATAATATAAAATTTTATAAGCATTCTAGGAAAGTCAATATAGGCAGAGAAGCATTCTCTTTGAAGATATGTTGATTTTGATGGTTTTTTTTAATTAATTTATTTACTTTTTAAATACATTTGTCTCTGCCTTCCCCCCACCTCTTTCCCTTGCCCCCTCCCACCTTCCCTCCCTCAGCCCTTCCGCTTTGGTTTTGTCCATGAGTCCTTGCTATATGTTCCTTGACTTTCCCCTTCCCTTCCCTTTCCCTGCCCCGCCCCCCTTCCCTCTTGTCTCTGTTGATTTCTTTTCCTTTCAGTGTTGCTGGTCATATTTTCCTTGCTTCTTTGCATTGTTGGTTAGGTTCCGCTTATAGGTGAGATCATATGGTATTTGTCTTTCGCCCCCTGGCTTATTTCGCTTAGCATGATGCTCTCCAGTTCCATCCATGCTGTCGCAAAGTTTAGTACTTCTTTTTTTCTTTCTGCTGCGTAGTATTCCATTGTGTATATGTACCATAATTTTTTGATCCAGTCATCTACTGATGGGCATTTAGGTTGCTTCCAAGACTTGGCTATTGTAAATTGTGCTGCTATGAACATTGGGGTGCATAGGTTCTTTTGTATTGGCGTTTTGGTGTTCTCAGGGTATAGTCCCAGCAGGGGAATCGCTGGATCAAAAGGCAGTTCCATTTTCAGCTTTCTGAGGAAATTCCACACTGCTTTCCATAGTGGCTGCACCAGTCTGCATTCCCACCAACAGTGGACTAGAGTTCCCTTTTCTCCACAGCCTCGCCAGCACCTGTTGTTTGTGGATCTGTTTATGATGGCCATTCTGACCGGTGTGAGGTGGTACCTCATGGTGGTTTTGAT